TCTTTCTACACAATGCACTCCCAAGTTGTCTGCACTGACAGTTTTATGGGCTCATTAGAACCAGTTGATCTAGCCTGAAATGCACTGCATGCTAGTAGCTTTCTTTTGTCCCTGAAGTAAATAGTATATTATTCTATGGAGAAGTGGAAAAGAATCCTTTCTCAGTTAGCCATGCACGTCGTAAGAGGTTACTAAATTGCCAGGAGCAAGTGGCTAGTAACCTCCTTTGTATACATTACTAAATCTAAAAGGAAAAATTTAAGTTTTTCTTTTTTGGTCACCCTGTCTCGGTGGGGGACGGATGGTACATTAAAAAAATATATATTTTATTACGTGTAAACTACACTATCTGTATAATGCATAAAAGAAATAAAAAACTTGAATTACTGATTACATAGGAAGAGAGTAGGCACAGTGGCTCATAGAACCTCAAAATAGAAAATATTTTTCCACGCTTCCAAATGTTTTATTTGTCGAGATTTCCTGAATCCCATTCAGAAGCCTACTACCACCACCACCCAATTCAACTGAGCACTGGACAGAACTTCAATCTTCATTCCGAGACTTTTTTATAAACAAATTACCAGAAACACATTGGCTCCTCTCCCTACTAACCAGAAAAATTCTTATCGTTGTCTTAATAAAATATATCATGAAGACTGGATGTATCAAAATCAACCTTATGTAAAAGTGATGACATCTCAAACTCAAGTCATACGTACAGCAATCAATCATCACCAAGATTTAGAAATCCAGCTGGTCTAATCTGGTGGCAGGAACAAAAACTAGCCATTAAGGCACGTTATTTCCTTATATTTATATCGCTAAGGGCCATAACAAGCCACATATCCCATCAAGATGAGATACGACTTTCAACCTCCAGCTGATAATTCAGATCGTGTTTGCGCAGATGCCCATAAGATCAGTCTGAGGCTCTTTGTTGCCCTGCTGATGGTCACTAACCCAATACAAGGGAAAAAGACAACAAGTTTCCTGTCTAAGTATTTTGATATCTAATCTATGTATTGAAACAAACCCAGTGTTTCATCTTTACAGGACAAAGCCTTAATGGCAAACCTCCAGAGGATCTGGAATAAATGGCAATGAATACATTAATATGTATTATTTTGATGTCTCCAAATGGTAGCTTACTGTGCTGGAGGCAAAAAGTTGCTGCAACATCACATTAGCTTCCAATATTAGGGACAAAGACATATACTTCTGAACCACAGGTCCCATCTTTGGGAAACTTGGAGGATTTTTGACTTTAACGAGTATATGCCGATATAAATCTGTTGGCTCAAATTGCATCTGTTAATAGTTATGGAGATAATCAACCTCACAGCCCAGTCTCAGGTTATGCCTCCTTAACTAAAAAAGAAATATTATAGGAGTAAGAAATACTAAGAAGCACAAAGGAAAGTAAGACTGAATGTAAGTAGAAGTTTGTAAGATTTACTTGCCATTTAACCTGTTCACAAGACAGAATGAAAAGATAAAAAATCCTGTTAGACTGCAAGACATTACACAGGCTTCGTTTTTACACTTAGGTGTGGAGTAGCTCGATCACTAGTGCACTCAGCTCACACACTGAGCTCCAGAGTTTGAATTCCTGGTGTGGCTGGAAAACATTAGGGATGTGTTTCCATAAGACACCTGCTGTCCATGTTCACCCATCAATATAAAATGGGTACCTGGGTACCTGAGACAAAACTGACCTAATCTGCCCAAAATGCTAAGCATAACAAGCGGCCTTCTATGTAGTAGTACGTCACTGATGTAAGCAAGCCCTGTATACCTTGTACATGTACTTGTAAAAATTAAGATATTATTATTCTTAGGTCTTAGACAGGGATGTGTAATGTCACCATGGTTGTTTAACATATTTATAGATGGGGTTGTAAAAGAAGTAAACGCTAGAGTGTTCGGGAGAGGGGTAGGATTATATTATGGGGAATCAAATACAAAATGGGAATTGACACAGTTGCTTTTTGCTGATGATACTGTGCTTATGGGAGATTCTAAAGAAAAATTGCAAAGGTTAGTGGATGAGTTTGGGAGTGTGTGTAAAGGTAGAAAGTTGAAAGTGAACATAGAAAAGAGTAAGGTGATGAGGGTATCAAATGATTTAGATGAAGAAAAATTGGATATTAAATTGGGGAGGAGGAGTATGGAAGAAGTGAATATTTTCAGATACTTGGGAGTTGACATGTCGGCGGATGGATTTATGAAGGATGAGGTTAATCATAGAATTGATCAGGGAAAAAAGGTGAGTGGTGTGCTGAGGCATATGTGGAGACAAAAAATATCATCTATGGAGGCAAAGAAGGGAATGTATGAAAGTATAGTGGTACCAACACTCTTATATGGGTGTGAAGCTTGGGTTGTAAATGCTGCAGTGAGGAGATGGTTGGAGGCAGTGGAGATGTCCTGTCTAAGGGCAATGTGTGGTGTAAATATTATGCAGGAAATTCAGAGTTTGGAAATTAGGAGAACGTGTGGAGTTAATAAAAGTATTAGTCAGAGGGCTGAAGAGGGGTTATTGAGGTGGTTTGGTCATTTAGAGAGAATGGATCAAAGTAGAATGACATGGAGAGCATATAAATCTATAGGGGAAGGAAAACTGGGTAGGGGTCATCATCGAAAAGATTGGAGAGGGTAAAGGAGGTTTTGTGGGCGAGGGGCTTGGACTTCCAGCAAGCGTGCATGAGCGTGTTAGATAGGAGTGAATGGAGATGAATGGTATTTGCCACCTGACGAGCTGTTGGAGTGCGAGCATGGTAATATTTAGTGAAGGGATTCAGGGAAACTGGTTATTTTTATATAGCCGGACTTGAGTCCTGGAAATGGGAAGTACAATGCCTGCACTTTAAAGGAGGGGTTTAGGATATTGGTAGTTTGGAGCGATATACATGTATTGTGTACGTATTTTTATACGTATATACTTCTAAACTTTTGCAATCTGAGCACCTCTGCAAAAACAGTGATTATGTACGAGTGATGTGAAAGTGTTGAATGATGATGAAAGTATTTTCTTTTTGGGGATTTTCTTTCTTTTTTGGGTCACCCTGCTTTGGTGGGAGACAGCCGATTAGTTAAAAAAAAAAAAAAAATTATTACTGGGTATCCCCTTGGGTGACTGCTATCTACCAACCTCCTATTAGTAAGTTGACATAATTCATGAACCAGCAAGCATAACTGGAGTAGGATAAAGGAAAAATCTTGTAAGTAGAAGTCAGATGACTAAAAATAGCTACTTACTTAAAGCTGTCTCAGGGAGAAGAGTGAAAATCGTATAAAACTGTAACTGTAACTCATTGTAGCTAATTATAAATTTATTACTAAATATAGGACATAACAAGCAAGGTTCTGGTCTTATAACTAGGAACAGGTAACAAACAGAAAAATTACTTTCCTACAAGTTTCTTAAATCAATTTTAATCTTGAAATATTTTCACATTTTATAAAGTCTGGTTTGAGACTGGATCACTGACGTAAAACCCGGAACAATAAACATACTGTATTTTTACTGAAAAGACTCGACCAAGCAGGACCAGGCATGACTGCACATGGGTTATCTCCACCTTGACAGTGGGTAGTGAGAACAGATCACTGAGGATTCCTAAGCCCTGGAATAATAAGCAGGTCTCTTTCTGAACTAAAGAGAAAATGTAGAGAACTTAGGAGTGTGGTGGAAGCCCTCTAAACCATTCCTTCCTGAACGAGAATTTAAACCACTGGTAACACACGTGCCATCAACATCTCTAAAGGAGAGAGAGAAAAAAAAAAAACTGGAAGGAGGCACAACACTGGGGTTAAAACAAATAAAAAAAGCTTCTCTAAATTGATCATCAAAAGAAACCCATGCTCCCTTCTTCCAAATCTCCTAAGATCTACAGCATGATATAAAATTCCAGTACAGTACTAGGCCTCACTTACTGTGAACCATCTGGCTTCCTGTGAGCTGTTTCAATGACCAGTTTTGTATGTGATCTCATTAAGAATTTCAAGCTTGAAAGGGCTCTGTCTCTCTAGACCAAAACAGGGTCTTTGTATCCAAATATCCATGATTTCAGAAATGGCTGATCACCATAGCACAAGCCTTTGTTGGTGAACTTGTCAAACTAACAAAATACCTGCAGGAGGACTCTTACATATTTGGATCCAAAGAAGAGCCAAAGCTGACCCTAGCCTAAGATAACATTAATATTGGCTTTAAGAAACAGTTACTAATGCCAAAAAATTACTGAAAGAAAAACTTTACTGTGAACCAAACTCCCAAGAAAAAATGTCTGTTTCATAAAGAATCATCCTTATTGCATTCAGATTTATTTTCCAAAGGATAAACCAGAGAACAACTTCAGATGCGAGAAACAGATTGAAGCAATTCTTCAGAAAAATCCTATGACTGGTTTAACTTTTCTTATTTTTTTTTTGGCTGTACTGAATCTTTAGATATTGCTCTAAAATTAATTTTTACACAAGTATCCAGATAAGAGAAATTTAATCCAATTTGGGACATTCCACAAACCTCAAGTCAAGCAAAAGGCAATGTGGTACACAACTGTGAAGAGGAGCCCAGAAAAGTAACCAGTGAATTAGGGATATAAGCAACAAATATCACAGTTTGCCTGTACAGTCATGCGCCGCATAACGACATTTCAGTCAACAACAGACCGTATATACAACAGTGGTCCAATGCACTGCAAGTCATATGAAAGTACAGCACATACATTATGTACAGTATATAATACTTGATTATAAACAACTATGTTAGTGGTTTATGTATTTACTGCACTGTACTTTGTCATTATTCTAGAGTGTATTCTTTCTACTTATAAAACATAAGGTTTATTGTAAAACAGCATGCAGTGTTATGCCAGCAGCAGCTCATACACTATGTTGTCAAAACGACAAACTCTTTTAACAATGCACTTCTCAGAAAGTATCCCCGTCATTAAGCGACGCATGACTATACTCTGCGACATAACTGCAACAACTCTGTTGAAACCCACCTTCGTATGCAGAATCACTGCATTCTTTTAATTCAACCATCTCTTGTTTGACAGGAATCATTTCTGAATCTGAATCACCTGATAACCGACTGTCATCATTTGGGGTATGTGGTTCTTGAGAGGATTGGTGGACGTCTATAGATAACCTGGGTCGTTTAGGACTGACGGAATCAGTGTCACATCCTTCCGGCGGTCTTGGTGAGGATGAACGAAGTACTCTCTGCTGAAAAGTGATAAAAACCTAAGCTTAATGTTCACTTACGGTTTTTTCCACATGTTAAATACATTACCTACAATATTTCAAGTGATACAGGACAGAAAACCAGCACTACAATGTTTTTTTATAATAATGAAAACAAAGATTTCATTCTAACAATTTGTGAATGTGCTTTCTTTGGGTCACCCTGCTTTGCTGGGAGATGGAGATGGACACAGTTAAATTTTAGTCACCTATTGTGATACACATCGTTTATGGAGGAAGGATTCTTCTCAACTTCCTCAACCACTAAATTTCGTACTTTAGGTGTCATTACCTTCCGAAAAACATTCTCTACTACTTCAAAAGAATTTTTTTAAGAAGTGGACACAGAGCAATATTAATTTTGGGAGTCTGGACAGAGAAAGTGTGAAGTGGTCTGATCTTAACATGATGCACCTGCCTCATGGAGAAGCACAAAGTAAAGCTTCTCTGCAATGGGGATTATTGGAAGACTAGTGCTACAAAGAGTGTCTGCACATAATTATGTATCGTATTTTTTTTCAAAATAGTTGAGAAACCTGGAATGCTTATTTTTTGAGAAAATTATACCTATATAAGGTCAATTTTCTTTCTGATTCCCTTATCATGACATTATGGGAACAGAAAATTAGGGGAAAGATTAGTTTTTGTTTTTTTCAATAAATCCACCTTTATGTATTTTTAAGCACTAACTTCAGAAATAACCTTTGTTTCCTCAGGAAATTAGTAGTCTTCAAGAAATAAGCCATTAAAATTACTCCTATTTATACTGATTTCTTTTGGCTTGTTCATCAAATGTTATGTAAACGAAGGTTACGTAGTCAACCAAATTTCAGAGGAAGCAAAAGTCATTTCTAAAATCAGCCCTTAAAAATACAAAAGAAAACTAGATTCTTATTGAAAAATAGCACTGGTGCATACAACTAATCTAACCAAAATTATTCTGAACATAAGCAAATACCGATTCTTCCTCCATAAGCCATGCGTGTTGTAAGAGGCGACTAAAATGCTGGGAGGGGCTAGTAACCCCTTCTCCTGTATATATTACTAAATGTAAAAGGAGAAATTTTCGTTTTTCCTTTTGGGCCACCCCGCCTCGGTGGGATATGGCTGGTGTGTTGAAAGAAGAAGCAAATACCGAAACTCACAAACTGAGATGTACTGGTTACACACACACACAACTAAAGAGTAAGCATCACAGGCACACTTAGGCCAACTGACAAATTAGCATGTGCACGATGCTGCTGTATGTGCTCTATGCCAGTCATAGACAACACAAACTCAACATCATCTAAGGAATAAATATGGATTCATTACTTTGAAACTATTTTTCAGGGAAATAAAATTTAAATTTATGCTCACACTCCAACAACATGACAAGTCATGAAATCTATCAGCAATTATTATGAGAAAATGAATGCAAAAACACTCCTTGGGAAGTGGAACAAAATTCTTCCTCTTTAAGCCATGCATGTCGTAAGAGGCGAGTAAAATACTAGGAGCAAGGGGCTAGTAACCTCTTTTCCTTTATACATTTCTAAATTTAAAGATAAACTTTTGTTTTTCTTTTTAGGTCACCCTGCCTCGGTTGGATATGAAAAAAAAAAAATGCAGAACAGTAATACCATACAATAAAAAATCTTACCTTTTCACTGTCCTCTGCAAGGCCTCTGATCTTCAACATTTCTGCAGTTTTGAGAAATCTAGCCAAATTTTCTTGATGCACATTAACTTCCCCCTGGTATATGAATCGTAGAAGCTTCTCTAAATCTGCAAAACGCACCTCTGGTGGCAATATGACAATTGGATGCTGACATGGATTTGCCTGAAAGAGAACACACTCTGAGATGATACGAAAAATAAGATTTACCTTCGTGAATTTACATTACAGTAAAAATGAAATGTAGATGCCATCATCAATGGCTTTAGCTAAGAACATTCACAGTTTACATTTTGATAAGCTAATACTGAATGTCAAACAAGTGTTACATTCTATCTATTAGCTGTTGAGTCCTTTGTTCCTCATATATTATGGTATATACAGTACTTGTATATGATCAGACTGAAATACTATAGAGTACATAAACCACTTATCTATAGCTTGCACTGACATCACACATTATCTATGACTTTGTAAAGTGTGATGAGGGGTAATGTTGATAATCATATGAAATAACCCAGGCCAATATAAATGCTCATGGATCTTGCAACTGCAAGACTATTTTGATGTGATTTTGGACACAATGGAAGATAAGCAAAATGCACACATAATATATTTAAACTGATAAAATTTTTGACGTATGTCATCAAGGATTAAGAGTACAGAAAAAGAAAGTAGTGGATTAACTAAACTAAACTAAAAAAAAAAAAAAACAGCAAATACAACCCAGCATGTAAATCAAATCTATGATGAGAATTTCTAACCACAATCCAATTTCTGATTCTCGCATTTGATAGACAAAGATACAATTCAGAGCACTGTAACATCATCTGCAGACAAAATACTAGAATCTGCAGTAGTAGTGTACATCAAGTACTCAGCAAACCACCAACTGAAATAAACTCACTCTTCCAATGACCCACAGAAAGCATGTTCAACAAAGACAATTTCAGCTACCTGTACTCTGAGGGGTAAAAAAAAAAAATTTAATCACTATATTAATTGCAAAACAATGAAAGGGCCTAAGGATAACTATGTAAGAAGCCCTTATAAACAAGGAGCACTACCTTTACTATTACAAACCACGGAATAGATAACAAGAACCTTTAAATGAGAGATGCTAAATCACTGATAATACCCTATAAAGCACTTGTACACTCAACTACAGTAGGGCCCCACTTTACGGCATTTTGCCTTACGGTGTTCTACTAATATTGACATTTCAAATTATGACCAAAATTCACTAGATGGCTCCACACCTAACTTTCTAATACGGTCACCACGCCCCACCCGTTTTGTTTACTTTCTCCATGAGCTCTTTGAGCACTGTCTCTCCATTATGTATCGAAACTTTCCAATATTTCAAGTGTGCGTGCAGGTACACATTAAAATCACTAGAGTGCCTAGGTGGGAGACGACCGACTTGTTGAAAAAAAAAATAAATAATAATACACAATAATAATCACTTTCAGGCACATTAAATGTCATATATTACATTAATATAAACTTATTCATCAATCCATTTATGATATTTTTTCAAAATTATATAATAAACATGCTACATAACATATAAACATGATAAATAAGCCCCACAGAAGAATAAATTAACATAAATATGAGACGTTCATAGGTAGTAGGTTGGTAGACAGAAACCACCGAGGGAAGTACTACCGCCCTGCCAAATGAGTGTGAAACGAAAGCCTGTAATTGTTTTACATGATGGTAGGATTGCTGGTGTCCTTTGTCTGTCTCATAAATATGCAAGATTACAGGTACGTCTTGCTACTTCTACTTACACTTAGGTCACACTACACATACATGTACATGTTTATTTATACACACTCATCCGAGTTTTCTTTGATTTTATCTTAATAGTTCTTGGTCTTATTACTTTTTCTTTTATATCCATGGGGAAGTGAAATGAGAATCTTTCCTCCGTAAACCATGCGTGTTGTAAAAATCAACTAAAATGCCGGAAACAATGGGCTAGTAACCCTTTTTCCTGTAATAATTACTAAAAAGAATAAGAAGAAAATTGTCAAAGTGGGAAGTCTAAATGTGTGTGGATGTTGTGCAAATGATAAGAAAGAGATGATTGTGGATGTTATGAATGAGAAGCTGGATGTCCTGGCTTTAAGTGAAACAAAGCTGAAGGGGGTGGGAGAGTTTCAGTGGAGAGGAATAAATGGGATTAGGTCAAGGGTTTCAAATAGAGTTAGAGCTAAAGAAGGAGTAGCAATAATGTTGAAGGATAAGTTATGGCAGGAAAAGAGGGACTATAAATGTATTAATTCAAGGATTATGTAGAGTAAAATAAAGGTTGGATGTGAAAAGTGGGTTACAGTAAGCATATATGCACCTGGAGAAGAGAGAAGTGTAGAGGAGAGAGAGCTTTTGGTAAATGTTGAGTGAATGAGTGGGGAGTTTAGAACCAAGTGTGAGAGTAATGGTGGTTGGGGATTTCAATGCTAAAGTGGGCAAAAATGTTGTGGAGGGAGTAGTAGGTAAATCTGGGGTGCCAGGGGTAAATGAAAATGGGGAGCCTTTATTGAGCTATGTGAAGAAAGAGGGTTGGTAATAAGTATTACATATTTTATGAAGAAAAGGATAAATAAATATACAAGGTATGATACAGCACGTAATGAAAGTAGTTTGTTAGATTATGTATTGGTGGATAAAAGGTTGATGGGTAGGCGCCTGGATGTACAGGTTTATAGAGGGGCAACTGATATATTGGATCATTATTTAGTTGTAGCTGCAGTTAGAGTAAGAGGTAGATGGGAAAAGAGGAAAATGGCAACAACAAGCAAGAGGGAGGTTAAAGTGTATAAACTAAGGGAGGAGGAAGTTCGGGTGAGATATAACCAACTATTGGCAGAAAGGTGGGCTGGTGCAAGTATGAGTAGTGGGGGGAGGGGGGGGGGTTGATGAGGGTTGGAATAGTTTTAAAAATGCAGTATTAGAATGTGGGGCAGAAGTTTGTGGTTATAGGAGGGTGGGTGCAGGAGGAAAGAGGAGTAATTGGTGGAATGAAGTAGTAAAGGGTGTGATAAAAGAGAAAAAGTTAGCTTATGAGAGGTTTTTACAAAGCAGAAGTGTTATAAGAAGAGCAGAGTATATGGAGAGTAAAAGAAAGGTAAAGAGAGTGGTGAGAGAGTGCAAAAGGAGAGCAGATGATAGAGTGGGAGAGGCACTGTCAAGAAATTTTAATGAAAATAAGAAAAAAATTTGGAGCGAGTTAAACAAGTTAAGAAAGCCTAGAGAACGAATGGATTTGTCAGTTAAAAACAGAGTAGGGGAGTTAGTAGATGGGGAGATGGAGGTATTGGGTAGATGGCAAGAACATTTTGAGGAACTTTTAAATGTCGACAAAGAAAGGGAAGCGGTAATTTCATGCACTGGCCAGGGAGGTATACCATCTTTCAGGAGTGAAGAACAGGATGTGAGTGTGGGGGAGGTGCGTGAGGCATTACGTAGAATGAAAGGGGGTAAAGCAGCTGGAACTGACGGAATCATGACAGAAATGCTAAAAGCAGGAGGGATATAGTGTTGGAGTGGTTAGTATTTTTGTTTAATAAATGTATGAAAGAGGGGAAGGTACCTAGGGATTGGCAGAGAGCATGTATAGTCCCTTTATATAAAGGGAAGGGGGACAAAAGAGATTGTAAAAATTATAGAGGAATAAGTTTACTGAGTATACCAGGAAAAGTGTACGGTAGGGTTATAATTGAAAGAATTAGAGGCAAGACAGAATGTAGGATTGCGGATGAGCAGGGAGGTTTCAGAGTGGGTAGGGGATGTGTAGATCAAGTGTTTACATTGAAGCATATATGTGAACAGTATTTAGATAAAGGTAGGGAAGTTTTTATCGCATTTATGGATATAGAAAAGGCATACGATAGAGTGGATAGGGAAGCAATGTGGCAGATGTTGCAAGTATATGGAATAGGTGATAAGTTAGTAAAGGCTGTAGAGAGTTTTTATGAGGATAGTGAGGCTCAGGTTAAGGTGTGTAGAAGAGAGGGAGATTATGTCCCGGTAAAAGTAGGTCTTAGACAGGGATGTGTAATATCACCATGGTTGTTTAATATATTTATAGATGGGGTTGTAAAAGAAGTAAATGCTAGGGTGTTCGGGAGAGGGGTGGGATTATATTATGGGGAATCAAATACAAAATGGGAATTGACACAGTTGCTTTTTGCTGATGATACTGTGCTTATGGGAGATTCTAAAGAAAAATTGCAAAGGTTAGTGGATGAGTTTGGGAGTGTGTGTAAAGGTAGAAAGTTGAAAGTGAACATAGAGAAGAGCAAGGTGATGAAGGTATCAAATGATTTAGATAAAGGAAAATTGGATATCATATTGTGGAGGAAGAGTATGGAAGAAGTGAATGTTTTCAGATACTTGGGAGTTGATGTGTCGGCGGATGGATTTATGAAGGATGAGGTTAATCATAGAACTGACGAGGGAAAAAAGGTGAGTGGTGCGTTGAAGTATATGTAGAAACAAAAAACGTTATCTATGGAGGCAAAAAAGGGAATGTATGAAAGTATAGTAGTACCAACACTCTTATATGGGTGTGAAGCTTGGGTTGTGAATGCAGCAGCAAGGAGGCAGTTGGAGGCAGTGGAGATGTCCTGTCTAAGGGCAATGTGTGGTGTAAATATTATGCAGAAAATTTGGAGTGTGGAAATTAAGAGGTGTGGAGTTAATAAAAGTATTAGTCAGAGGGCTGAAGAGGGGTTGTTGAGGTGGTTTGGTCAAAGTAGAATGACATGGAGAGCATTTAAATCTGTAGGGGACGGAAGGCGGGGTAAGGGTCGTCCTCGAAAAGGTTGGAAGGAAGGGGTAAGGAAGGTTTTGTGGGCGAGGGGCTTGGACTTCCAGTAGGTGTGCATGAGTGTGTTTGATAGGAGTGAATGGAGACAAATGGTAATTGGGACTTGACGATCTGTTGAGTGTGAGCAGGGTAATATTTAGTGAAGGGGTTCAGGGAAACTGGTTATTTTTATATAGCTGGACTTGAGTCCTGGAAATGGGAAGTACAATGCCTGCACTCTAAAGGAGGGGTTCGGGATATTAGCAGTTTGGAGGGATATGTTGTGTATATACGTATATGTTTCTAAACTGTTGTGTTCTGAGCACCTCTGCAAAAACAATGATTATGTGTGAGTGAGGTGAAAGTGTTGAATGATGATTAAAGTATTTTCTTTTTGGGGATTTTCTTTCTTTTTGGGTCACCCTGCCTCGGTGGGAGACAGCCGACTTGTTTAAAAAAAAAAAAAAAAAATAGACGTTACATGTATGAACCAAAACCAGACACTTTCGTCTGCTTGTTTACACAACTCCGCGTCTCTCTCCTCTCTCATGTACTCATTCTCTCTCATTTATTTGTTTTACCTTGTTTACTCACCTCTCACCCTACATTAAGACTACAAATATTTTAAGGTAAGTAATGTGTGTACTGTATGTGCATTTTATCGCTCTAGGGAGCTTTAAATGTTGCAGTATATTACGTGTGGGTGGGGTAGCCTAGCCTTGCTGGCTACCATACCTCCCACACCTGACTTCCTACAAATAAATACCACTCACCTCTCGCCCTACATTAAGACTACAAATATTTTAAAGTAAGTTATGAATGTACTGTATATTCATTTTATCGCTCTGGGGCACTTTAAATGTCGTAGTATATTTCATGTGGGTGGGGTGGCCTGGCTGGCTACCATACCTCCCACACCTGACTTCCTACAAATAAATACTACTCACCTCTCACCGTACATTAAGACTACAAATATTTTAAGGTAAATAATGAGTGTACTGTATGTGTATTTAATTTTTATTGTTTTTAATGCCTAGTTCTATTGCTAACTTAATATATTTAGTGTAAACTTATTATCTGGCATTTATATGCATTTATACCATATTTCATGTCATATGAGATGCACATTTTTTCCATAAAATGTCTCCAAAGACCATATTGTGTCCTATAAACTGAAGGTCAGTGACGGGAGCTATAAGTTTGGGGTGTAGGGTGGGCTGTAACTCTCCCAGTTACATCTAATGCCGAGCCATTGAAACTAAAACAAGTCTTATGAGGCGCAAAATACAGTAAGTGGAAAAAATGGCTTTCTGCTTTCTAGCGATGTCCGCTCTCGGGTGGTAGCCTGGAACTTAACCTGCTGTATAAGTGGGGCCCTACTGTATATTATTGCTATAGTAAACTACTATCCCTATGAACTCAAATTAAGTTGTAATAAACAACTGTCGATAAATAAACAGAAGGGTGGATGAGGGGCTCGAACTGTGATCCGTAAATTGACAGTCTGACACTATATCGTCAAGGCCTGGGTTAGCCTTGAAGGTACAGTGTCAGACTGTGAATTTACAGACAGCAGTTCATGCCTCCAGCCACCCTTCTGTTTATTCAACATCCCTATCTTTAAACTTTAACACTGAAATTTCTTCCAGGCAATTTCTTATCGGTTAGGCTGTGATGCCTACATCAGACTGCGTGCAGGAGCCTCGAGCACCCTGCCAATTCAGGCTAGCAACCAGGAGGCCTAGTCTGAGACTGGGCCATGGTAGTGGATGATCCCTCAAACCATCAATAAGTAGAAAGTCAAATCCTAATTGTGAAATATTAATTTCAAACTACCTAGGTAGATTTAAGTTTCCTTTTCTGTCACAAATGTAAAAACAGATTAGTACTGTATAGTACTAACCTTCAAGAGATCTCTGAAGAAAACTGAACAGGCTGAAAGTAGCATTTTGTGAGCTTTGAGGAACTGTCCTTCGCATGCTAGAGTTACATCTACAAAATCTTGGTCATTCTTGAAACCATCCAGCGCTGTTACTAAGCTAGAGTGGAAGTTGTTCCAGCGGAGGCAGAACTCCTGGGCATTAGCTGTCATTCCACCAGAGTCCTCCATCACGCTCCTGAAAGAAAGGGATATTTATTTTTCTCCCATTTTTACATTATGTTTAATTACATACTGGTACTACAAATGCAGAAAAAATAAAAAGGCACAATACCACGACTGGAACAATAACAAATAGCTCGCACACAGAAGAACGAAACTTATGACCCAAAAGTCATCTTAAGTTTCAATCTTCTAAGTGCAAGTTATTTGTGTACTACATATGCAACCTGCACATGAGATAGTGGTAGCAACATTCTTATATGGGTGTGAAGCTTGGGTTGTGAATGTTGCAGTGAGGAGGCAGCTGGAGGCAGTGGAGATGTCCTGTCTAAGAGTAACATGTGGCATAAATATTATGCAGAGAATTCGGAGTGTGGAAATTAAGAGGTGTGGAGTTACTAAAAGTATTATTCAAAGGGCTGAGGAGGGGTTGTTGAGGTGGTTTAGTCATTTAGAGAGGATGGAGCAAAATATGACTTGGCGTGTATAAATCTGTAGTGGAGGGAAGGAGGGGTAGGGGTCATCCTTGGAAAGGATAGGGGGAGGGGGTAAAGGTTTTGTGAGCAAGGGACTTGGACATACAGCAGGCATGTGTGAGAGTATTAGATAGGTGTGTGAATGTTAGATAAGAGTGGAGATAAATGTTTTTTGCAGTGTGAGCAGGGTAATATTTTGTGAAGAGATTCTGGCTACTGGCCAGCTGGACTTAGAGTCCCAGAGGTGGGAAGTACAGTGCCTGCACTCTAAAGGGGAAGTTTGGGGCATCTGCTGTTAAGAGTGACACCTAAACTGTCATATCTGTGTGCCTCTGGCAAGACAGTGATAATGTGAATGATGGTGAAAGTGCGTGTTTTTCAGGTCAACCTGCCTTGGTGGGGGATGGCCAGTGTAAAAAAAAAAAAAAAAAAAAAAAAAAAAAAAATGCCTTTCTAATTCCAAAATTGTGTATATAACAACCCTATTTCTCTACATATGGTATACAGCTTCTCCTCACTTAACAACGTAGTTGCATTCCAAAGACCACATTAGTGAATAAATTCGTCACAAAGCAAGGAGCATACAACAATGGTAGTGGGTTTGTGTCAACCATCTCTGATATTGCTTTAATGTCACCTTTGCACCATTTATAACATTTCTGGTATACTTTTAAATTTTTATACAGTAGTGTACTGTATACTGTAATAAACAGAATAGAGGTAATCAGCTCTAATATAAATTTAAGTATGCATACTGGTCAGATAGCCCGTCGTAAGTCCGAGTCGTCGGCAAACACTTACATTGCTAAGTGAGGAGAGGCTGTATTAGATGAAGTTACGTTAATGTTATTTAACCAAATTTAACCAAGACTGCATAAAATGCCATGCATAATTATGAACTATTCCTTGTAAAAAAATACACTTAAGGAGTGCCTCCGGCAAATTTCCGCGCGCGCTCACCGAAATATCGGAAAAATATGGATAGTGAGTTATATATACTGAAAAATAGCTCAACTCTTTGGCAACACAATGGTACCAGAATGAATGTTCTACGACGTTTCTACAAGAAATTACAGTCATTTATATGAGGTAAGGTGACGGTGATATTGGTAGCGAGTCTGCTCACAGCCCATATATATTTTGGAAATTTTTCCTTGTTTTTTATCGCTTTTTCTTGCATTATACTTTCTAATATAATAACTGAGTACTTGGCATCATAAAACTGAAGGCGGAGCTTATCCCTAGATTGAGCAACAGTCATTAATCATATCATAATGCGCGGAAGGGTTGCCGCGCCAGGAGAAATCACTTCATTATTACGCTTATATCAGCTATATATCAACTCTACAGCTTATTTATCTATCAGAATTGTTCTAATATGATATAAATAAACACTCTAAATAACATACAAACATGTTATATACTCTAGACTGAAAAAAATAGACCATAATATGGCGAAAGATTATCGGGAATATTTCGATAAATATTGAGTTACTGCTCTCCATGTCGTCTCCGTGTCGTATTCTTTGGTCTCTGAGTAAGAGAAAACGGTGTTTGAAGAGGATAACTGCACTAGAACATCAGTTTACTAAGAAATACACCCAAACAAACGCGATTTTCGCGAAAAAAAAAAATTTTTTTTTTTGAGACGGTGGGCCGGCCGGCGTTCTAGGCCTATATCTCGGAAGTAACTTATTCCTCTACAGTTGCTATTTCTGCATTTTATTACTTAATTAAATGGAATAATATTCACAGAAATTGTGTAGAATAATGGTTTTTTTCTAATTTTGTTAAAGGTAATTTTGGAAATATTCAAATACTTTCGGAGTTATGTGGGAGTAAAGGGCAGATTTTTTGCAGTATTCCAGGAACTAAAAAAAAATTTTTTTTTTTTATATAAAGATACGTTATTTAGAGAAAAGGCGTTGCCTAAAATTAGTTTAAGCATTGCTCTCTCTCGGCACCAAGTGTCCAAACAACCTTACGATGTCCCATATAGGAATGATTTTTGAGACAAGGACATTTTTCAGAAAATCAGTCTTTTTCAGTCTTTTCTCAGTTGTCGTTTGAGGTATATTTTTGATAAATATTTTCAAGAATGAGTGAAAACACTTTGTCTTGTGCACCAAAACTGGAGGAAATCGGACGGTAAACAAAAAAGCTACATTTTTTTGCCGGAGGCACTCCTTAAGCTACAAAGAATAAAGTCACAATACCATAGCTGCAACAATGTACATGTATATACAATAGTCCCCCCATATCTGCAGGGAATATGTTCTAAGACCTACCATGGATACCCGAAACCGTGGATGGAAGCAAACCATAAATATAAGTCGTTTTTCATTTACACAGAGACCCATGATGTTTAATTGATAAACTGCACACAGTAAGTTGAGAATTAGCGCTTTTTTACTGATGGGAAGCAATTTATAGCTTCTCTTAGGCTCTGAAGAACTGCCATCATTACTTTTGTACTTTGTGGCCATTATTAAAACCCTTTATCGGGCAGAGGCAGTTTTGACTGCCTTTAACCCCTTCAGGGTCCAAGGCCCAAATCTGAAGTGGTGCCCCAGTGTCCAAGAATTTAAAAAAAAAAAAATTTGTTATTTTTTCTTATGAAATGGTAGAGAATCTTTTAGTGAAGGTAATAAAACAAAAAGTACGAAATTTGATGGAAAATTGACGAAATTATGCTCTCGTGAATTTTGATGTGTCAGCGATATTTACGAATCGGCGATTTTGCCAACTTTGACTCCCATTTTAGGCCAATTACATTATTCCAGTCAACCAAATTCTTAGCTATTTCACTAGTATTACTTCTACTCTATCGATTGAGCACAAGAAATCGCCAAGTCTACTGTTTCAACTACAAATTAAAGTGATCAGAAATTGTTAATTTGGCCAATTTAACACAAAGTTCAAAATATTCCAATTTCAAAATAGGGTCCAGAATAAACAATGTAGGTATTCCCGGAACTAAACTAACATTTCCTCTGTTCATTAGTTACGTTTTGAGGCTTTACAAATAAATTCCATTTTGATTTTTTATTCACAAAATGAATTTTTATTCACACCAAAAAATAGAACATTTACTGTTATGCAATACTGTAATAATTGTATAAATATCATCACCATATTTGTGAATGCATATTAGACCCACCAGCTGGCATGTATTAGACGTGTGAGGTCGTTTGTTTACTCTAGAATATCGGCAAAAATTTAACATTTCTGCTACTTTGAGCTCAGTTTCAAGCCATTTCCAGTGCTAAAACCAATCAAAATCATCTCTGTTTCTGTAATATTTCTTCCATTCTATCAAAAGAGACCAAGAAATCGCAAATACAACTATAAAAAACATACGAAAAAACACTGCAAAGTTGCTGTTTTAATTGAAAAATCATGATTTCAGTTTTTTTTCTCTCATACACAGTGTGCTGCAGGATCTGTTTTATGTGGTGCACACATACCACATAGATGTATTCTCTCATATCTAGGCCCAAATGTACCACTCACAGTTTATCAGAGTGAGCTGAGCTCATGACGTAGATCTACGGTTTGGACCCTGAACGTAAAGCCGTAGATCTACGGAACGGACCCTGAAAGGATTAAACACGTGCACCTTTACACGTGTCATCCTACTCGTGCTGCGCATCTGGATTCCCAGTTCTTTAATTTTGACCAATCACAAGCCTTCCCTGAGTCGCTTCAGCTAAGTGGTGATGGCGTTTGCCGGCTTCCCATTGGTTGAGAGAACAAAATGTAAACACTTGTGGCTTGCCGTTGCCCAGAGTGGGTTTTTTCCATCTAGTGTCACTAATATACTCTTGGATTTTACCCTCTACAATGTCGGTAAGTACTGATTGTTGTGTTTAGTGTGTACATGAATAGTTTAGGCATATTTTGATATATACATAAAGTCCGTGTGAAGCATAATGTGAGTGTAGCATGCAGTTGAAAAAAGTGCAACAAAAGAAGGGCAGTCAGGACTGCCTCTGCCCGAGTAGGGACATAGTCCACTTTCAGTAAAATAAATATTTATAAAAAAATTTCTACTGCATATATGAATTCGGTAGGTGTCTGGATGTATACAGAACGTTTTTATTGTCCTTCCAGATCAATGAGAAATTGTTTTATGGGGAGCCCTCCAGCACCAGGTCAAAATATGTCTGTATTTTGGACGACAGTGACTCAGAACCAGAGGTAGATGACCCTGAATTGCTTGATAGTGGTGATGAATACTTGCCACCAGATGCAGAGGTGTCGAGTGAAGATGAGGAGGAAGAAAGGCCAGCCAAAAAGCAGAAATTAGTCAAGAAAAAGAGAGGCATTATGATCAAGGAGTACCCTGATGAGAAACATATTTATGACGATCTTGCTCTTCAAGGTGAACCTAAGTGGTCCCAGGTTGACCTCCAAAATAACCCTTTGCCGGCATATGAATATGAAAAGCCTCTTCAATCAAATTATGTCTCCATATCAGTATTTTTGTGATTTCTTTACTCCAGACATGGTAGATAACATAGCATCTCAAACAAATTTGTATGCCGAGCAAAAAAACATAAATAATAATTTTGCAACAGATTCTGAAGAGATCATGAGGTTCATAGGTATTTTGTTGATCATGGGTATTATTCAATCACCATCACTCAAAGACTATTGGGCAGGTTCATTTAGGATCCCCCAGGTTGCAGAAGTCATGGGGTCTAAGAGGTTTAGGTTACTAAGACGTACTATCCATTTCAATGACAACACACAAAAGGATAATGACAGATTCCAATTGCTTCATAGACTTCCATTCTAGCAATTAGTAATATACAATGATTGCTCTTCCTCATGAATCTTAGGAATATGGGACTTGAAAGTTTTATCCCTTTGCAATTTGTCCTTGTTGCTATTTCTTTCATTTTTATATTTTTCTAATACTTACAAAATGTTTTGATACAAGTTCTATTGATGTTTTTGATATTGTATGTTTGTATATTAAATTTTAAAAATAGTTATTGGGTGTTTTGTTAACAATTGCAAGTTTGCAACATTCAAATTTATACTCCCTATTTCGGGCATGGGCGAGTTTAACTGCCTTTCGCAGATTAGCAATTGCTCGGAAACTAACCATCAGAATTCCATTTATATGGCCTCATTCATCTTATATTGAGTTACTCTATCCACTCTAAAGGAGTTAAGTGTAAAATTCCATTATATCAGACATTGCCCAATAAAGGGTTAAGCAAAATTAAGGGTTATTTTTGGGCCACTGTAAACCGCGGATAATTGAAACCATGGAAACCAGATCCATGGATACTGGGATTCTAGTGTATAACCCACACTTAGGTAAATGAACACGGATGCAACTAACGTGGCATTTCATTGTGGCAATGTTTCACTCTACAGTAGCTTAGTCAAGCCTTACTTGACAAAGCTCCTTGTAAGTGAAACACTGCCACAATGAAATGCCACATTAGTTGCAGATGTGTCCATTTACCAAACATTGTCAGTAATTCTACAGTTATTACTAACCCACACTTAGGAAATTCATGACAGCTTTTCATTGGTCCACCCTGGACCACTGTCAAGCTAGATGTGACTTGACAATGGCCTACAATGGACCAAAAAGTCATCACAGATTTTCACTCCTAACTACAGGTTGTTTGTATAGTGCTGACCTGTTATGCTTTATTTTCTTGGGAGATGAAAACTTCCAAGAGTTTTCAAGAGGACACTGTATCACTATTTCCAACACGAGCCCGATCATCAAGACTCTTATGGCTACCTACACATGTGGACTGCTAACAACAACAGCTAGCTGTACCTCGGTCGACAGCATTCTCAGCTAACACACTGAGTGTCTGTGGTTCGATCCCCAGCATGGGTGGAAACACTAGGCATGTTTCCTTACACCTGCTGTCCTTGCTCACCTATCAGTAAGCAGGTACCTGGGTGTTAGTTGACTGGTGTGGGTCACATCCTGGGGGATAAGATTGAAGGACCACAATGAAAATAAGACGGAGTCCACCTATCAGTAAGCAGGTACCTGGGTGTTAGTTGACTGGTGTGGGTCACATCCTGGGGGATAAGATTGAAGGACCACAATGAAAATAAGACGGAGTCCACCTATCAGTAAGCAGGTACCTGGATGTTAGTTGACTGGTGTGGGTCACATCCTGGGGGATAAGATTGAAGGACCACAATGAAAATAAGATGGAGTCCCCGATGACGCACTGACTTTCTTGGGTATCCTGGCTTGCTAACCCTCCAGGTTAAAAATTCAAACAAATCTACTCTTAGCTTCTTTGAATAAGCAAGGAAACTTGGCTATAAATAATACTGAAGTCCTCAAAACCAGTCACAGGCAAATCAAAGGTAAACAACAGCCATGAAATATATTCAGGGGTGATCTGAGGAACAAGAAAGACAACAATTCCTCATACCAAGAGCCCCCCTGCCACAAAATTAGACCAAAAAATAAAGATTCTGCAACAAAATTAATAAAAGTTTATTTAGGCAGAGATACACAAAAAAACAATTAACATACACAGTGTAAATTATGACAATTAACAAGACACTGTAAATTGGACATTTTAATACACTATGTAAATTATGACACTTCAAGGGCCCTTCTGGGGGTCTTTTTTTAATTATTGGTTTTTTTTAATACACTCAACAGAATACTCCCATCTATGAATGTAACAATGCACACAAGACCCATATGACCTGTCATTGATAATACTCACTTGTAGCGTTAAAAGTTATCTGTTTAACAATAATGTATTATCATGAATTTCAATTGCCTTAGTAATCTTAAGTTAATATTAAGCCAGCCCGTAATGCTATGGTAGTAATTAGTGCTTTGGCATGCTTTCTAGTATTGTAATTTTTTTGTACACCTGATGTGTGCTCAAAGTATTTATAAAATAAATAAATCTGAAAACTTCAAGACACCTCTGGGTCCTTTTTTTAATTATAAAAATTCAAAAGACCCCACTGGGTACTTTTTTTTTTTTATGACACTCAAGACATAAGTCCATGGGGGTCTTTTTATTATTATGAACACTCAAAGAACCCCTCTGGGTCTTAGAAGTCATTATGCAAATAAGTTAATTAAAGCAAGGTACATAACACAAGTTATAAATAATAATTATCTCATGTGGCAAAATGTTTAACTTCCCTCAGGTAACCCAATAAAGTCAAGCTAAGTGACTTGTTTCCATTGGTGTAAGTAATCAGTCTCATCTTATTTAGTATAAGAGAACACTGTAATTATATAACTAACCTGAATCACAGACGGGGTGATTATACGCTACAGTTCAATCCCATTCCTGAAAATTATAAATCAAGTGAGTCCATTTTCCAGAGATTATATAAAAAAAAACAATTATAACAAACATTAAAAATTACATAAAAATTGAAACACATGAACATAAATAGTACACTGTAGGTCTTAATTAAGCCTTAAAACAAAAAAAAATCGAAATAAAATAGATAATAGCCAAAAGTTTATTTCAGAGCATTGTCATATAATATTATTATTTTGATAATCATGGGGAAGCGCTAAACCTGTAGGATTATACAGCGTCTGTGGGGGGGGGGGGGATGGAAGGTATTCAGGCTTAATTCAGGGAATTGGAGCACAGACCCAATTCCCTAGATCCAGAGCCCCTCACCAGCATCAAGGAACCTGCCTTGAAGGGCGTCATACAATTAATAGTAGCATTAGATATAATAATAGGAAAGAACTAAACCCATAAGAGTTATACAATGCCTGGGGCCCCTCAAGGGAGGTTCCTTGATGCTGGTGAGGGGCTCTTGATCTAGGGAATTGGATCTGTGCTCCAGTTCCCTGAATTAATTCTTCCATCCCCCCCCTACAGGCATTGTGTAATCCCTACAGGTTTAGCACTTCCCCATGATTATAATAATATAACAGTGTCTGGGGAATGGGAGGCAATGTGGTCTGATCCTAGGAACTGGAAGATAGCTCCAATTCTCTGGATCAAGAGATCTTTAACCATGCATATACAGGGGCTTTCTGCATGTACACCCAAATGTTATTCACCTTTGTACAAACATTGTATCAAGCTGAAAAAAAGTACGTACATATATAACAATTATTATGGGGCTGTTACTAAACAAATTAAGTTTAAAAAAAATGGTTGTATAATTAATTTATCAGGTTGTGAGACACGTAACAGCACACAGTTATGGCTGAAATTAATGGTGTTATAGTGGAATAAAGCCGTAAGCCCATACGGGTGGCTTAATGGTGCAGCTTCTCCTCACTTAACGACGGAGTTCCTTTCTTAAGACCACGTTGGTAAACGAATTCGTCGCTAAGTGAAGAGCGTACTATGATGGTAGTGGGTTTGTGTCGACTATCTCTGATACTGTTCTAATGTCACCTTTGTACCATTTATAATATTTCTGGTATACAGTGGACCCCCGCTTTACGATCACCTCCCAATGCGACAAATTATGTAAGTGTATTTATGTAAGTGCATTTGTACGTGTATGTTTGGGGGTCTGAAATGGACTAATCTAATTCACAATATTCCTTATGGGAACAAATTCATTCAGTAATGGCACCTGAACATACTTCTGGAATGAAATATCGTAAGCCGGCGGTCCACTGTATTTTTAAGTTTACACAGCAGTGTACTGTACGTATATTGTAATAAACAGAATAGAGGAAATCACCTTTAATATACATTACGTATTTAGGTATGCATACTTGTCCGAGAGCCAGTCGTAAGTCCGAGTTGTCGGTAAACGAATACGTCGCTATGTGAGGAGAGGCTGTACTATGCTACAGTGGTTGTGTCATATATGGAACACAAATGAAAGCCCATCCCACCCACTGGTTAGAAGATTTGGGTTTACACAATTATCAAGAATGTTAGAGTGAAATAAAGCAGTAAACCCATACGGGTTGTCTTACAGTGGAACCATCATATAGAGGACCAAAAATTAAAAGTTCATCCCACCCACTGGTTAAAGTATGGTTTACACAATTATTGCTGTAATTAACAAGATTATAGTGAAATAAAGCGGTAAACCCATATGGGTGTTCCAGTGGTACCATCGTATATAAGACAAAAATTAAAGTTTATCCCACCCACTGGTTATAAGGTTTTGAGTTAAAACAATTATTAACAGTGTTACTGTGGAACAAGGCGGTAAACCCGTACGGGCCTCACACAGTGGTACTGTGTTATATGGGACAAAAATGCAAGCTCATCCAACCTACTGGTTATGAAGAGATTCTTTTACACAATTATAGGTGTAATTAACAGTGTTATAATGAAAAAAGCAGTAAACCCATACGGGTCTCCCAGTGCTAGTTACAGTGGCAGTCGTATATAGGACACAAATGAAGGCTTATCCCACCCACTGGTTATCAAGTGGTTGTTTTCGAAACTTTAGCTGTAATTAACAGGTTTATTGTGGGATAAAGCCGTAAACCCGCACGGGTCTCCCACAGTGGTACTGCGTTACAGTGGTACAGTCGTATATGGGACAAAAATGAAAGCTTATGAAACTCACTGGTTATAAAGTGGCTTTTTACACAACTACAGCTGTAATTAACAGTGTTATTGTGAAACAAAGCAGTAAACGCGTACGGGTCGTCTCACAGTAGCACCGTCATATATGGGACAAAAATGAAAGCCCATCCCACCCACTGGTTAAGAAGTTTAGTTTTACCAGTGTTGGTGTAGTGGTGGAGAGTAGTGGTGGAGCGGGAGTGTGTGGTGAGCCAGAGTGGTGCTGTAGTGGTGCCAGCGGTGGTAAATAAGCACCAATATAGTGCACCATTGGTGTCTCAGCGGAAGCCACTCTAACACAACCATATAAAATCCTTCCCCCTTGCTACTCTCTCCTCTCCTTCTCTCCCTTCTACCTCTCTTCCCTCCTTCACCACCCTCGCCTCTTCTACATGTATTCCCACTGCTAAATACCCACACCTCCGCCATTTATTGTTTGTTGTTAGAGAGTAATAAACAAAGTAATAAATATTTCTTACCCCCGATCTTCCACCCGTAGTTCCCGTTTTGTTCCAATGATATTACCTCGGAATTAATAAATAACTAACTAAATAACTAACCGGCTATTTATTCACATTTATTACCCGTGTTTAAATTTTTTTGATGGCTTTGTATGGTATGTTGTTTTGAAAATACCGTAGGATAAGCTAATAAAGTCAAAAATTGTGAGTTATTTTTCTTTGGGTGGTTGGGTTTTTTGGGTTTGTGGTTGTTATTGTGGGTTAAAGTGGGTGATATTGGTTTTGGTCGGTTTGGGTATTTTGTTGGGGGTTAGTTGAAGAATTGGGGAATGGGGTAAAAGGTGGAAAATTAGTTTTTAAAAGAGTTAAAGAGGCTTGATTCCCGGGTGGTGGCGGCCATAGCGGCGCCATTCCCGTACGTTATTGATTTCATAAAAAGACGCGGCCTCTCAGCCCTCCCCTGCCTCTCAGCCCTCCCCTTCCTCTCAGCCCTCCCCCTCAGCCTACCTCATTATTATTCATACTCCGATATTTCCTCCCTTAGACCCTTTATCCAGCATGGGCACCTCTCTCTCTCCCTTAGGTCTCCCTTTCCCTTGCACACATGATGCTTGCAACATGTCGAAAAATAGGATTGTTGATTTATGCAAAGATGGCAGTACATGCGTGGCTAAATGTTGCATATGATAGAGACAATTTAATACTGGAGCCATTGTATATCAGGCGGGGTCGATCATGTTGCTGCCGGCTACACTGCTAACCTTATTTAACTCATTATACTCTTATTACATTCTTATTGTATTAATATTGTATTTGTATACTACTGTATTTGCGTTATATTTGCAACAATGTATCGTCTGCCGAGCAGTTGTATGGAGAGCGGTACTTTATTCTTTTGTTCTAAGGAAATTTTGATTTATCGTCCTTTTTCCTGCCCCCAAAATTAGATATATACATATACATGAAATTACAATGTCGCAAGAAATGCTTAGAATGTATATTTGTCTAAGTAACTCTTCTTATATCTCAATAAAGGTAGATTATATAAAGTAGACTTATTCTCCTTGTGTCAAGGTCAGACTTCGCTTATTAGAGTTAATTCTACTCTTTACTTCCTAGTATATACTTCTAAGTCATATTTAGTCTAACTTTCTAACTATATGCTAGCATCACCTGATGAAAACGTGATAAATATGTTAGGAAATGTTGTTTATGTAAGAAATATAGAGAAAGAGAGAGAGAGAGAGAGAAATGGATTGACATTATGGCGTCTGGTTCACTCTTTCTCTCTCCCGTACATCACTGGTACACATAGCTACCTACATACATGTACATGTACACACAGACATGTATACCCAGAGTTATGTACACGCGCATGCAGACATGTACAAGCATATGCAAGTGTACTTGTGTACTGTTGTACATGTGTCTTGTTCATCTATAAGGATGAACATGCTAGGTGCCTATGTACCTGTTCAATCTATATTGAAACCTACTCTTAAGTTCTCGCGTCAGTAGCTTGGGAATTTGTTCCACTCATCTACAATTCTACTGCCAAATCTCGTCCACAACTCTACTGCCAAATCTCGTCTACAACTCTACTGACAAATCTCGTCTACAACTCTACTGACAAATCTCGTCTACAACTCTACTACTAAATCTCGTCTACAACTCTACTGACAAATCTCGTCTACAACTCTACTGACAAATCTCGTCTACAACTCTACTGACAAATCTCGTCTACAACTCTACTACTAAATCTCGTCTACAACTCTACTGGCAAATCTCGTCTACAACTCTACTGACAAATCTCGTCTACAACTCTACTGACAAATCTCGTCTACAACTCTACTGGCAAATCTCATCTACAACATCCCCATTAACATCGCTATTCAAGGCAGGTGGAATTGCAGATCTCGAGAATGTACAGAGAACCTTTACTGCACGTATAAGTTCCACCAAACACCTTAACTACTGGGAACGCCTGGAAGCACTTGACTTGACTGCGCTCCCTGGAGCGCAGGCGAGAGAGATATATCATAATCTACACCTGGAAGATCCTGGAGGGACTGGTCCCTAATATGCACAAAGAAATCACTCAATACGACAGCAAAAGACTTGGCAGGCGATGCAACATACCCCCAGTGAAAAGTAGGGGCGTCACTGGTACACTAAGAGAAAATGCAATAAGTGTCTGGGGCCCAAGACTGTTCAACAGCCTCCCTCCAGCAATAAGGGGCATTTCCAGTAGACCCCTGGTTGTCTTCAAGAGGGAGCTGGACAGATACTTAAAGTCGGTGCCGGATCAGCCGGGCTGTGGCTCGTACGCGGGATTGATCAGGTCCTGATCCACCAGGAGGCCTGGTTGTGGACCGGGCCGCAGAGGCGTTGATCCCCGGAATACCCTCCAGGTAGACAAAACTGCCAAATCTCATCTACAACTCTACTGACAAATCTCATCTACAACTCTACTGACAAATCGCATCTACAACTACTGACAAATCTCATCTACAACTCTACTGACAAATCTCATCTACAACTCTACTGACAAATCTCATCTACAACTCTACTGACAAATCTCATCCTACAACTCTACTGACAAATCTCATCTACAACTCTACTGACAAATCTCATCTACAACTCTACTGACAAATCTCATCTACAACTCTACTGACAAATCTCATCTACAACTCTACTGACAAATCGCGTCTACAACTCTACTGACAAATCTCATCAACAACTCTACTGACAAATCGCGTCTACAACTCTACTGACAAATCTCATCTACAACTCTACTGACAAATCGCGTCTACAACTCTACTGACAAATCTCATCTACAACTCTACTGACAAATCGCGTCTACAACTCTACTGACAAATCTCATCTACAACTCTACTGACAAATCGCGTCTACAACTCTACTGACAAATCTCATCTACAACTCTACTGACAAATTGCGTCTACAACTCTACTGACAAATCGCGTCTACAACTCTACTGACAAATCGCGTCTACAACTCTACTGACAAATCGCGTCTACAACTCTACTGACAAATCGCGTCTACAACTCTACTGACAAATCGCGTCTACAACTCTACTGACAAATCGCGTCTACAACTCTACTGACAAATCTCATTTTGTCCATCTTGAATCCATTGCTGCGAATCTTGTATTGGTTAGCTATATTTCAATGCACTATTTATCCTAGGTAATCCCATTTATCCTAGGCAATTTATACACGCGTAAGTATACCTGCAGAGTATACCTGGAGAGGATTTCGGGGATCATATAAGAACATAAGAAAGAAGGAACACTGCACCAGGCCTACTGGCCCATGCGAGGCAGGTCCAATTCTCCCACCTGCTTAAGCCATGATAATTGCACTTATGTGTACCTGTATCTTAATAAACATTTATTCTATGTTTCTCGTGAGTGTAAATTCAGTGCCGTCAGTCAGTCTTCCTACCAGACCTTTATAATACACATCAATTTCGTAATCTAAATATATTTTACAACGAATTTATGATCGAAATTCGCCGCATGTTTGGAATTTACCTGGAGAGAGTTCCGGGGGTCAACGCCCCCGCGGCCCGGTCTGTGACCAGGCCTCCTGGTGGATCAGAGGCTGATCAACCAGGCTGTTACTGCTGGCTGCACGCAAACCAACGTACGAGCCACAGCCCGGCTGGTCAGGAACCGACTTTAGGTGCTTGTCCAGTGCCAGCTTGAAGACTGCCAGGGGTCTGTTGGTAATCCCCCTGATGTGTGCTGGGAGGCAGTTGAACAGTCTCGGGCCCCTGACACTTATTGTATGGTCTCTTAACGTGCTAGTGACACCCCTGCTTTTCATTGGGGGGATGTTGCATCGTCTGCCAAGTCTTTTGCTTTCGTAGTGAGTGATTTTCGTGTGCAAGTTCGGTACTAGTCCCTCTAGGATTTTCCAGGTGGCTTTCTTTTGTAATTAATAATTCTTGTATGTAAGCTACATTTAGTATACCGCAGAAAAGAAACAGAGTTGCATTAGTATTGTATTCTATATCATGGAGACCAGAAATGAGCAGGACAATAGCCCTTGGCCTGGTAGGCAACGCTCTCGCTTCACACACTGAGGGCCCGGGTTCGATCCCCGACAAGGGTGAAAACACTAGCCGTGTTTCCTTTCACCTGTTGTTCCGTTCACCTACCAAGCAAGTAGGTTCCTGGGTATTAGTGGACTGGTGTGGGTGGCATCCTGGGGGACAAGACTGAAGGACCACAATGGAAGTAAGCCTGAAGTCTAGTTGGAGGATTTCAGGGGTCAACGCCCCCACGGCCCGGTCCTTGTCAGCTATGCTGAATATGGCACCTTCGTAATGCCTGTATGGTATGGTAATTATAGTTTAACTTAGACTTATTTAAACCCCTTAACACCCTTGGCTCACTAATATTCAGTAGTCATATCAATGATCTATCAGAAGCCTCCCAGGAAAACCAGTCGTGTTTACACATGACATCACAATGTTCATATCTCATTTAGATCCTGTTGTCTTCAACGACACTCTCAAGTAAGCTTATTTAGGCACGGGTCCACGTAACTACAATTATACCTGGAGTTTACCTGGAGAGAGTTCCGGGGGTCAACGCCCCCGCGGCCCGGTCTGTGACCAGGCCTCATGGTGGATCAGAGCCTGATCAACCAGGCTGTTACTGCTGGCTGCACGCAAACCAACGTACGAGCCACAGCCCGGCTGGTCAGGTACCGACTTTAGGTGCTTGTCCAGTACCAGCTTGAAGACTGCCAGGGGTCTGTTGGTAATTCCCTTTATGTATGCTGGGAGTCAGTTGAACAGTCTCGGGCCCCTGACACTTATTGTATGGTCTCTTAACGTGCTAGTGACACCCCTGCTTTTCATTGGGGGGATGTTGCATCGTCTGCCAAGTCTTTTGCTTTCGTAGTGAGTGATTTTCGTGTGCAAGTTCGGTACTAGTCCCTCTAGGATTTTCCAGGTGTAATCATGTATCTCTCTCGCCTGCCTTCCAGGGAGTACAGGTTCAGGAACTTCAAGCGCTCCCAGTAAT